TGCCGGTCAAAGCCAAGCATCAATATAAGGGCAAGGAAAAGGAAAAAAAGTGGATGACCGCTTCTTGGGTGATGAAGTCCAGAAAAGATATGAAGGGGCTATCAAAAGAAAGGATAAGGGTTTTGTTCCTAAGCGTGGGTTGACCGCGAGTCAGGCCCTAGACTGGAGTCGAGGGAGAAAGTGGGAAGTGTTTATGAATGCTCCTGCACAATCGGCTATTGAGCCGCTGGTGAGGGAGTTTTATGCCAATCTCCCGGATTGTGAAGAGGGGATGGTATTTGTGAGAGGGGTTGATGTGTCGTTTTCGAAAAAGGCGATCAATGAGTTTTATAAACTGCCTAGGATTTTCCAGGATGAGTATGTAAGGTTTAGGATGTCAAGTTATGAGGATGATATCATTCTCCCGGTCATTGCAAAACTGGGGGCAACTTGGGCAGTGTCAAAGAAACAAAAGAAAACCCTCAAGGGCACTGATTTGACACCAATAGCTCGACTGTGGCAGTATTTTGTTAGTGCGAAGATCATGCCGGAAACTCACTATAGCACAGTAACTAAAGAGAAGGCAGTATTGCTTTATTCAATTGCCACAGGAAAAAGTATTGATGTGGGAGATATTATCTGGAACAGTATTTAGCATGCCTTGAAACCAGGGCGAGCAATCTATGATTTCCCACATCTCATTACAGCTTTGTGCATTCAAGCTAGAGTCAAGGTGTCTGCTGATGAGCAACGTTTACATGCTACCCCAACTCTTAGCTCAGACTACTATCAAAAGCATCTTGAATGTCCAGCAGCTGAGCAAGCAAGAGCAGGGACAAAACGATAGCGAACCGTAGAAGGCCCTGCCACATCCTCTAGTTCCACAGCTATGCAGAAAGAAATGATGCAGCAGATGATGGGTTTAATGAAATATATGACAAAACATCAAGATTGGTTGGTTGAGGAAACCCAGATGATGTATGAGATGCAGAAGAATAGCTTTAAAGAGCTCAACGTTGACACTTAAGCATACCAATGGGCCGACTGGGACTCAAATGAGTGGATGGGCTCCGAGGAAAAAGAGGAAGATGAGGAAGATGAGGGAGGAGAAGAATGAGCACCGGAGCACTTGATTTTTTTTTTTTTTTTTTTTTTTTTTTTTTTTTTTTTGTTTTAGTTGAATTGGTTTTTCATTTGAAACATTAAACTCAGATTGTATTTTTGGTTTTGGATTGTGTAGTTGTTTTAGTTGTTTTCTTTTAATTTGTAGTTGTTGCAAAGACGAGATTAGGTTGTAATATTTTCAAGTTAGTTTGTGAATTTTTGCTAACACAAGGGACACCATAGTTTCAATTGTTTTGACAGATTTTGGGTGAAGAAAAGTCTAAGACCGGGTGTGCACTGTGGAGCGACACTTCACGGATTAACCAGGGAACTTTCTCGTACCTTTGTTATTTTTGATTTTCTATTCCTGATTTTTACGTACTGGAACATTGGGGACAATGTCATATTTAGTTTGGGGGTAGGAAATAGAAATAAAGCCTAGTTTAAGGGTATACCGGCTGGAAACCAGTACCCGCCTTAAAAACTGCCTAGCAGAACTTGGTAACCTCTGGTATAACAACGCCACGTACACCTTAAACGAAATTTTTTTAAAAAAAAAAAATCTTTAGTTATTTTTCTTTAGTTTGATTGTTTTTGGCGATAATGAATTGTATAAATCAATGATGAGAATAGGGTTGTTGCAATTTTACTATTGAGAAATGTTAAGCATTGCTTCAAGTTTATGTTATTGACTGGATTTTGATTGAGGTTCGTTGAGTGGTTTAGCCACAATTTTCATTTATTTCGGAATGCTTAGATTCATTTTATGTGATTAGGTGAAGTTTGATAATGTTGGTGGACTCTAGAACCTAGTAGAGAAGTGCTTGAGGCAAAATTCCAGGATTAGACATGGTTGAGGAGATGATTTAGGCATTCTTTTTGGAACGTTTGAGCCTTTCTAGCCAACCCAGGAATGAAATTGTCCCTAGTCACCCGTTTGAGCCGTATGAGTTAGTATTGCTTTATTTTTTTTGGCAAACCGAAAATTGTCCTATCCTGTTACCCTAAACACTTTGTCGTACCCTTAGGAGAATTCGGCCTTAGTGCAAACACAAAGAACAGAAAAAGAGTTGTACGAATAAGCCAAAAGAATAGTTTGGGGGTTGTGAGAAGGGTAGGAAAAAAAAAAAAAAAAAAAGAGGTAGTTCACCTCAATTCAATCGATTTATTCTCTTTTTGATTTTAAAAAAAAATAATAATAATTTCATTTGCTGGGTTTAAGGGTATATCGGCTGGAAACCAGTAACCGCCTTAAAAACTGCCTAGCAGTACTTGGCGATCTCAGGTTTAACAATGCCACGTACACCTTAAACCCGCGCATTTGTGGTATCAGAAATAAGAAGGATTCGAGTTTGTGGGTGGTAAATAAGTAGACACATTGATTGTTGGTTGAAAAGAAGTGGAGTTCGATTTGACATGAGTGTTTGTATGAGGAGAACCGAGTTCTCTTACTTTGTTTTTCCTATCCTTTACTTGGAACCCACTACCTGAGCCTAACGTTACAAGCTTTTAAAGACCTTTTGATTCTCATCTTTGTTTAGTCCTCATCAGTGGAGAGTAGTTCGATATTTAGGCTTATGGAGTCTGCCACCATTTGATAAACTTTACATTTTTGGATAAAATAATATGGGAAGTTGGAATGTGGATTGAAGTGGGGATCACCTACTCAGTGGACCGATAGAGGAAGACAATCGATGTAGCTTATAACTTCTTGGAGTGTTGAACATTTCCTGATAATAATTTTTCAACAACTTTTGAGACTTGTGTAAATTCTAGGCAATTCGTTTGTTGAGTTTGAGTCTTATTGGTTTTTGTTAAATTTGTCAATTTTGTTGTGTGAGTGTTTCGTGTTGTTGTTCGTTTATTTATTGTTTTTGTTTCCGTGAGTTTTATACTGTATGCTCAGGGACGAACATATCTTTAGTTTGGGGGTATTTGATAATCCGTGGATTATACCGTTTTCATTAGACTTTTTGGTCAGATTTCGGGTACTTTCTAGTTCATTTTGACCTGAATTGTTGCTTAATTCCTTACATTTCGTGTTTCAGTTTAAAATGGACATTTTGAGCAAATAAGGACAAAATTGGAAATTCTGCACTCAGAAGTTGGCGGATCTCAGAAGTTGGTGGATCTCAGAAGTTGGGAAAGTTCTGAAGTAGGATAAAGCACTATGTGGCTTGTTCCCAAGGGAGAGCACCGAGGATCAAAGAATCAAGTGAAGATGCAAGCAGAGTGGCAATTCTGTAATTTCAGAACTTTTTAAGAAGCTTCGCCGCGGCGAAGTGTGCCAGTCACGCACCATATCTGCTTCTTTCTTCGCCGCGGCGAGATTTCTTCTTCGCCACAGCGACGACCGTAATTTCCAGTTTTGTAAAACGCACAGTTTTACTTTTGCGTGTTTTTCTAAGGAATTTGGGCAAGGTATAAAAGAAACACTTAGCCTTTTTGGAATGGGGTCTTCGAATAGGGTTAGAGCAGCTTTGTACATTTCCTTAGTTTTGATTTTGAGGAATTTTGAGATTGAACAAGGGTAAAGATTTGAATTCGAACCAAGAGATTCATCAATTGGGGAGATTTCTTATCTTTTCTTTTATTTTCATTATGTTGAACTTTAGTATTTTCGTTTCTTTCATTTGTGTTGTTGATTTAGCCATGAACTAACCCATTTTGGGTTAGGGTTTTGATTGTAGTTCGGATTTTAATGGGTTAAGTTATTGATTATTTCCTTTTCAGATGATTTTGCGTTGATTGTGTGTTTACTCTGCATTTACTGGTTTTATGTGATGAACATGATGAGATTGAGAAATGAATCATGTTAGGCTTCTTGGGTAATCACCATTGTAGTATTGGATGCTAGAGATAGATTCAAGAACCAATGAAATCATTTAGGATTTTTGTGCTTAATGAGCTTAGAATTATTAACTTTCAATTTGTTGGGTGCGGAAGGTTAATAGGGAAGAGTAGGAAAACATAGCCTGAGAAGGTATGTTTGACACTTTAGAGAGTTTGATTTACAATCAATGCAGGTGACTATGATTTTAGTTTAATTCTTTAGGTTTAACCCATAGAGTCCGAATGAAATCAAAACCCTACCCGTTTGTTTGAATTGATTTTTTTTTCCCGTGTTTTACATCTTGCATTCGTAGTTAATCCGCAGTTTAGTAATTTTGTTTTAGTAATAGGTTAAATTGCTCCCATTAATCCAAAAGAATTCGGTTGCTCCAACTTGGAAACGGTAGAAAACTTAGTGCTTAGCGAACAATCCTCGTGGGAACGATACTCACTCATCATTATATTACTTGTGTGATTAGTATACTTGTTACATATTGCATGTTGTAGGAAACACGCACCAACGAGGTGGTGGCAACCTCTAGTGAGGTTGTAGCATTGTGAAATGGTGGTAGCCTCGCAAGGCTACAACATCCTCAAGCAAGGTCACTGCCTTGCAAAGAGTTATGTTTGGGATGCTAGGTGACCAAGGGGAGGTGGGGATTAGAGTGTGAGAAAATAAGTGTAAAGGTTTGAACTTTAAGGGTTTGACTAATTACGTTAGGGTTTGTTTAAGTAAAAAATATGAAATGACAGTTTTGCCTTTCAAAATCTTACCAATATCTGACAAGGTTAGGTTTAGGATGTATGAGTGATGTATTTCTTCATAGTTATGTGCAGAGTTTAATTAAAATGGCAATAGTTGTCTTTCATGTGTGATTTACAATAAAGCTGGGAAGATAAGTGATTTTTCTTGTTGGGTTTCTCCTAACTAATAAGCTCACGCTTAAATTAATTGTTTAAGGATTAGTATAGACTATTGTTGTAGATATTGTTCCTTTTTTTTGCCACAAGTCTATTCTCTTAATATAATTTTCATGAGTATTAATAGTACTTCACTTATAAAGTATACAAGAAAAAGCCTCTAGAGTGAATCAAATTAAGCTTCCGATTAAGTGATAATTAATACAAACAGAATAACAAATTGCACTTGAAACTGATGAGTAATTGATGGACCTTCTTGCATTTCTCATTATTTGCATTTCCCACAATTCATTTTACGAGTTATTGAGCACTCTTCTCTCTTTGCCTCAGATTTCTTCTCCACCTTCCCCAGCCTGTTCTCCTTTTGATCCTGTGGCATTAGACATCATGCATCATGTTACATGACATCCATCAACATTTAACTGAATTAACTATTTAAATTAGAAATTAAGAAGGTAAACAAACAAACACAACATGTTAGCAGATCTAAGATAAATATTGAGGTAAAGTTAGCTATCAATTTGATACAAGAATCAAGTTAGTGAAGCAAGACCTCGTTCTAACTTACCATTTGATTGAATGTCTTCTCCAATTCCTCTTTGCTTAACATATACAAAACCAATAAATGTAAGAACAGAAAATTTTAGCACATGCAAAAGGGGAGAAAATAATAATTCTATCGATGAACTTTACCGATATCTCATCGTCAACCTTCTCTTTCTTCACTGGCTTCTTGGATTTCTTGCACGTGCAGCATTTCTTTTTTGGCTCTGATTCTTCAGCAACAGAACAAGAACAATAGTAGCAACATTTCTACATCCATACATTCAGACGAATTTATTTTATTTCACAAATTAAATTAATCCAACAAAGCAAAAGTATGTGACTCAAATATTTCATTAACCTTGTTATAGTGTTATTTATCATTACCCTTGTTAAAATGTGATCCAAAGATGAAGTGATTTCAATAGAATCAACAATAATAATTATTATTTTATATTTTCCTTGAAAAAAAAAATAAAAAATTGCAGAAACTCTTACCACACAACAAACTGGAAGGCAACAACAAAGCCAGCAAGTCTTGACATTCCATCCGCAGCAGTATGCCTCAGCCTTCATGATTTTTGTCCAATAAAGAGAAGAGAAAATTAAACTTATGAGTTTGAATTAACTTAAATTTGATGTTAACTTGTATACATATTGAAGTTTTGATGTTAACTTGTATACATATTGAAGTTTTGATGTTAACTTGTATACATATTGAACTTTATACCCTCATAATTAAAGAATGAGACCCACAAAAAACAGGCTTACATTATACACATTCCTTGATTCCCTTCAAATAAATAAATTATACAACAAATCATCTAGGCTCACTACAACATTATAGACACATAGCTACTAAAATTAGCTACAGAAAGGAAAACTATAACAAATACATATTTACAGCAACAAAAGTCAATATTTATAACTAATTGAAATAATTTTAGTGATACGACTTCCTTTCTCAAAGCTAATATTCTTCTCTTGCTTTAACTTATTAAAATCGTGACAATAACTAGTTATTTAGTTACAATGTATTACCTATAGTAAAACATTGTAACTAATTAATGTATTTAGCTATAACATTTTATTTACATGGCATATAGCATCACTATTAGCTACGAGTTAACTATCTAGCTATTTTTTGTACCCACTGAAGGTGCTGGAGGCTGTACGTCAGGTAATTGAGTACCCGACCTTAGAGTTAGATTGTTGACATAAATAGGCTCCTCTGAGAAGTAGATCATTTAAAAACACTGAGGTGAGAATAAAAGAAATGATTTGACTTGACCTACGGACTTTTCAAACCAAAACCTTTTCTTTCTTGTTCTCATTGTGACATTAAAGAAAGATTAAGATTTCCCGTAGGCCAAGACTTCATTTATTACTTTTGACCCTATATGAGATCAAAAATAGTCATGATTGCAAACTCTCTTATAAGGGAAATCTTCATTTATTACTTTTGACCCTATATGAGATCAAAAATAGTCAAGGTCAGAAACTTGCTGAGGAATATTCACCATATTTCCTCAAACCAAGGGAGCAGCTGGCCTTGCTTGAGAATAATGGGATTTGAAAGAACTAGTGAAACAGAGTCAAGCAGCCAATCTTGACTAGTAGGCATCAAAGAAGGAATACTGAAAAAGCAACCACTTATATAAAAGGTCAATTCTCTAATAAAATGATCATAACAAGCATGTAAAGAAAATATACTAGAATGCCTCAGTGTACTTGACAGTAATTTGTTCAAGGGCATCAACAAGCATACTGGAAAGACTTACATCCAAGAGACCATCCACAAGAGGAACTTCCATTACAAGACCCATTGCTTTTGTAATATTTCCAACACAAGCCAAAGCCTCAAGCAGGGGTTGCCTCTACATGGAGCAATCTAGATATCATAAATATGCCATTGATTAGAAGTCTTGTTGCCTATCAAATGAAAACAGCATAACTCAAAGAAATTGTAGTGACAAGGAAAATGAAACAAAAGAGAACTAAATTGATGGCACAAGACTTATTTCAGCCAAAATCCTTTACGTCTTACTGCTTCACGTAAGTGAGATGTAATTGTTGGCAAATAGTGGATGAGTTCCCCTCCCAAAGCACCAGCCATCTCCCCAAGAGCAATGAATCCAATGTCATGTTCAGCTGGAACTCGTAGAACTGTAAGAATGTGATTCATGCATATCTGCAGCACATCACAAGTGCATGCAAATATTACTGGGGTGACTTACTGCTATATACATAAGGATGATTCATCATCCAAAATGCTCTCCATGCTAGATACAATTATATGATAGAAAATGAAGCAATCCACAAACCTTTAAATAGTTTGTAACAAATTGGTTGCACAAGAAATGAGCAATGCGAGGTAGCAGGGAAGTTATACTAAGGCGAACAAGCTGATCCCGGTGCTCTAAGTACCAGAGTACAATTTCAGCAACTTCTCTATACCATGACATCATGAGCTCACCAGTATTCCTGTCCAGAAAACATTTCCATTATATCCACATCAAACACTAAAATCAGTTAAATAAAAGGGGCACAACTCATGTTTCCTATATATGAATATCAGAGCTCCACAAGAAATCCAACGAGAGGCAATGACACAAAGAAGTAAAATAAAGATGCCAACCACAAAACCTTGGTTTCAACCTTGATCCTATATACCACCAGGGGAAGCGAAGAAAAAAAAAAAAAGAAAAAATTGGAAAGACAAAAGTGGTCTTCTCAACTCAAACATCAACTTCAGAAGCCAAAGATTTTGCAAATAATTGTAAATTTTCATCTACCTCAAGAGCTCCCCAACTGCAAGTAAAGAACCATGTATGCTATGTACAGGAGCATTTCTGCCCAACCCATCTTGAGTAGCCTCAAACATTCGATAATATCTATCACAAAGAAAATACATCAGGACTCATTGCCCACACAACAAGTAATAAAAACAGAAGACCAAAGCGAGAGTTTTCCAATTGTTTGAAAACATTTAAAAGTTGGTGTACATAAAGTTGCACCAACAAGGAATTTGCGCATTGAGAAAGGCAACATCAGAATTTTTAGCATCACCACCCTCAACAATAACCTTTCCCTCTTTAATAAGAGATACAGAGCATCAATAAGCACAGACACTAGGCTCTAGTCATGTTAGATTATTTTTCTTCTATAGGAAACAAAAAGTATATAAATAAAGAGAGAATATGGAAGCACATCACTCCACTAAGGTGTAAGATTACCTCTTAAGAGGGAGGCAAAAATTGTACTACAAATATTGACAAGAACTTTGTATAGGTTGTGAAAATAGACCCATTAGCTGTATGATATGTATAAAGCACCCCCAAAACACAACAAATCAACCTAGAACCTCACTTTGGTTAATGAATCAAGAATAAAAAGGCATCTTCGAACTCTCTTGAAACGGAAGCTCATAAAAATATATAAAACAAAAGCATTTTAACCCACTAAACATTGCAGTCTAGACTTTAACATCTTCAAAAATCCTATTTTTCTTTCACATCAAATCATCCAAAGATGACCCGTTCCCCTCCTTACTTAAGGTCTTAGCACATTTCCTTACCAGAAGAACAAGAACTTTTAGCAAAAGGGAAGAAACAGATATCAAATAGCCCACAGAAAGTGAACTTCTTTTCAAGCTTCAGTCCATAAAAATGAAGCCACCATGTAGGAAAGGAAAAGATGTCTGTTGTCTTTCATTTTCTGGAAATACCACAGAAAGCAGAAGACAAACTCATTAGACTAATTTACCAACTGGTCAGCATAAGAGTAACACTACTATCTATTCCAATACTTTCCTTCTATATTTTGTTTTTCCACCAAATTCATGGCACAGTTGTCCTAGTAATAAATAATCTTTTAACAATATTTGTAAAATAAACTATGAGAGTAGAGTCTTTGCTCAGTCTCCTTAACTCTAGAAACTTCAGTTTTCCCTTCTTTTTCTACTTCTGATTGTTTTTGATCTCATTCTGAAAACTTATATTACCTCGTGAAGCACGGCAGTGTCACCAAGAGAAATCATGTTGTTTCTGGCAAAATAAATTGAAGACTGTTAATTTTTTTTTTTTTTTTTTTTTAGTTTGATATCTCAGCAAACCCCTCTGCCAAACCATTTAATGAACACAAATTCAAGATTAGGGTCCCCATTGAAGCCCAAAATCTTCACTAAGACCACAAGCCTAACTAATGGGCGTAAAACCACAAGCCTAACCACTCAAACCTCTCAATGATAACGGGATAACTAATCCCAATCTCCTATTAGCTGGCACCTTCTAATTTGAGTGAGTTAAATCTTAAATACAGTTGTCTTTACATATATAGGAATGAAAATAATTTTATAGCTATCTAAAAGCAATACAAATAGTAGTAAGCCAGTGATCAACCAAAGATTTGCAAGTTATGAAACAAACAAAGATATTATAGCTATTTTCTATACTATTCAGCACCAAACTTAAATCCTATGTTTGCACCTTCATCATTATCTTAAGCTTTTAGATTAGATTTTACTTAACACAATATTAAGCTAGGTCGACCAAAGATCTGATGTTTGAATCTCCCACGTTACATTAATTGAATTATAAATTTTTTTGTGGTCGATTTTATTGGCGATTGTTGTTGTTTTTTAGTCTGCATGCAAGTTCACATTAGAGGACCCTTTAGAGCTTCAACACTATAGTGAGCCTTTTAAATATCATCTTAAACATTTAAGTCAACTGGTTGCTTACAAAAATCATGATGGCTGCTAAATCATGATCCTTCTCAGTGCAACAATACACATCATAGGTATAAAATTCCAACTCTCCATATTGCAGAAAATCTCAAAGCCTTATTAACTTCTCCTATTCTGCACAACCCTCGGTCATAATATTCAAAGTCCAAGTGTCAAATCTAAAAGCTCTTAAACAGGAAAATGTCTTCATTAACTTTATTCTGTTTAACCAGCAAATTCAACAAACTATTACAAGTGAAACTGTCCATAGCAATTTTTTCAGATGGCAGCTGAGAAAGCAATTCCTTGACAAGATCCAATTTTCCTACTTCTGTAAATGACAAAACCAAAAAGTCTATAATTGAACTATTTGGCAAATGCCCATCACTCCTCATATAGTCAAACACCACTTTGGCCACATCATGTAAACCCGATTCACATAAAGCTCTTAGAAGTAAATGGTAAGTCTTGAAAGAATGATTGAGACTCAAGTTCACTGTACTAAATTCCAAAAATCTGAAGGCCAATTTAAGGTTATCTAACTGTTTAATTACCTCAAACGATGTCAAAATAGCCCAAACAACTATCCAAACACAAATGAGAACGGACTAATAGCATAAACACAACTTTAACAAACCACAACTTGGGGCTACATCTATGTATTACCTCTTTGGTTTCAAAGGGGCGAGACCCTCTGTGAAAATGAGCAATGGCAGATATCTTGAAAGCTCGATCCCTTGAATGATGGCTAGTGAATAATAGAAGGGTCATCAGCCTCAGATTTAATCCCATAGAATCCTCCTGTTTGAGGGGCAAAAGATTAAAAGGCCATTTTGGCCTTGCATTTAATTAAAAGGCGATTAAATTTCAAAGTCTTTACTAAAGGAAAATAATACAGTTACCGAAGGATGCGCACCGAATTCATGTACCGAATGACGTAACGTAATCCTGACCGTCGATTAATTATGAATTAATATTAATCGATGGTAAGGATTATGTCATGTCATTTAGTGCACATCCTTCGGTAACTGTAGCATTACTCATTTACTAAATGACCTTGTTTTTTATGAAGGCTAATTAATGACAATTAATCATTAATCATGTTTTAATTAGGATTAATAAAGCATTGAATAATTTTTTTAAAATTATACTTTGTCCCCAAAAACCCAAAATTGTTGCAAAGAAACCTAAACCCAAAACAAAGAATTTGCCCCCCTCCCTCCCGCCATTAACGTCGGCACTCCCCTCTCTGTTGCTTTTTCTTCTTAGCAAAACCGAAGCCCACTTCCTCCTCCTTTTCCTACTCTTCCTTTACATCTTCTTCTTCCTCCATCATTAACATTTTCTTTGCCATTAGCATCTTATGCTTAGAAAGAGATATTTTGAAGGGGCTAGAAGTTCCGCCTCCTCCTCCTCCTAACATTTTGTCCAGGTTTGTGTTACTCCTCTTTGTATTTTAGATTTCTATCCATAAAGATTTAATGGATTTGGTGTGGGTTATGATTTTGATTTAACGGTTTAGGTTCTTAGGTTGTGTTTGATGTAATGCAAGTTGAAATGAGTGAAATTTGCTAATGATTTTCTTGCATTGCGGGTAGCTAGGGGTGGTAGCAATTGCCAAAACCAATTATAGGTGCAGATTATGAAAAATGGATTCTAGGCATGATCGATCGCTTAAAACTCATCCTTTTCACCTATCTCATCCCAATGTAGTGGATACCTACATCGTCTACCATACAAAGCCTCGTAACGTACCATCTTAATCGTAGACTGATAACTGTTGTTGTAGGCAAACTCCACCAATGGTAACATTTCATGCCATGACATTCTATAATCCATACAGCAAGCTCTCAACATATCCTCAAGCACCTGATTTGTTCTCTCTGTTTGGCCATCCGTCTGAGGATGATAGGCAGTACTGAATGCCAAACGGGTACCCAAATTTCTCTACAAACTAGTCCAGAAAGCTGAAACAAATCTCGAATCTCTGTCTGACACTATAATCTTGGGCACACCATGTAACCTGACTATCTCTTTCACATAAATTTGAGCCAACTGATCCGAGGTGGTGCTCTCCTTTACTGGAAGGAAATGGGCGGATTTAGTTAATCTATCCACAATCACCCATATAGCATTATAACCTTTCTGCACTCCAGGGAGACCTGTGATAAAATCCATTAAAATGCTCTCCCATTTCCATTCTGGAATACTAAGTAGCTGAAGCAACCCTGACGGCCTTTGGTGTTCTGCTTTTACCTGTTGACATGTCAGACATTTAGTTACAAACCCTGCTATGTCTTTCTTCATACCTGGCCACCAATAGCCTTTCTTTACATCTTGGTACATCTTGGTTGCTCTAGGATGAGCAGTGTACAGTGTGTCATGAGCCTCTAAAAGAATTCTCTTTTTCAACTCATCATTCGGAGGAATGCACAACCGATTTCTGAAATAGAGGACACCATCAACTAAGTAAAACTCCACTGTCTTGCCCTCAAGCACTTGCTGCATTACTTTCTGACACCACTCATCAGCCACTTGTTTAACTCTAACTTCCTCCAATAGGGTAGACTGAATTTCTAACCTGGCAATCCTTCTCGGAATCACTTCAATCTGCTCTTTACACAACTCTTCTATCAACTCTTTTTGCCTAGTGAGCCAGGACAAATAAGCTTTTCTACTCAAGGCATCCGCTACTACATTGGCTTTTCCTGGTTGGTACTTGATCTCACAATCATAATCCTTCACCAGCTCTAACCACCTTCTTTGTCTCATATTCAGCTCCTTTTGAGTGAAGAAGTACTTCAAACTCTTATGATCGGTGTAAATGTTACTCTTGGCACCATAAAGAAAATGCCTCCAAATCTTTAATGCAAAGACCACGGCTGCCAACTCTAAGTCATGTGTAGGGTATCTTGTCTCATACTCCTTCAGTTGCCGAGAGGCATATGCTATCACCCTACCTAACTGCATTAACACCGCCCCAAGTCCTTGCAATGGGGCATCCGTATAAATATCATAGTCTACACCCTCTTGTGGTAACACTAACACTGGAGCTGATGTTAACCTCTTCTTCAACTCTTGGAAACATCCCTCACAAGCTTCTGACCATACAAAAGAAGTCTTTTGTTTGGTAAGAGCTGTCAATGG